AAGATAAAAAAAATAAATAATTTTTTAAATAGCATCTACCAGCAACCAAACTGAAACCAATCTGTTCACCCAAGATTTCAAATTCTGATGTTAAACCAAATAGGCACGTAAGTTAAATAAAAAGTAAATCGCTAATATTTAACCAAGTTTACTACTTTCTAGGTAAGTAGAAATTAAGCCATTTTTCTAGTAGCCTCAACTCGAAGTTAAAACTAAATCAAATCCGTTCACCCAAGACTTCAAATTCATCTATTTAAATCAAAAAATAAATAAGATTGATAGGCAAACATAGAAGACGGCTTAAAGAAGAATTCAAAATCTATAGCTGATTCAGCCAGAATTTGTTGATCCAAAATCGATATTATGTCAATTGAAGAAATTGAGATCGCAACCACGGGATCTACAAGAAATTTTGAGGCTAAGCAAATTGGAATTAGGTTTGAACTGCTTGACGAAGAAAACAAATCGATGATTTTAATTAAAACCTAAATGCACGCCTGCAAATCAGACACAAGAACTTGATACCCTGTAATCCGTGTATCTACCCAAAAATCAATAAATTACATGCTCAGATTGTTTGTAGTGCATTTCAAATTGTTGCTTCAAATATCGTCTCTCCGTATTATTTAAGTTGCAGGTCGTTTCGTCTTTACTTTGTATACGATCGAGATTTTTCTTCAATTAAAGAATGAGGCAAGGTTTCATCTTTACTTGTACACAAAATTATTCTTCAATTAAATAAAGAGGCAAGGAGGGAAGATTTTTTGGCCAAAATTTTCTGGAGGCAAGATTTTTGGAGAAGTAGGAAAGACGTGGGCTGTGTATTTTTGGGTTTTTGTTATCAAAATATATTATCATTTTTTTTAATTATCTTTTATCTTCAAATTATATTTTGTAGGGACTAAAAATACAAATAGTAAAAGAAATGTTTTTCCTGCTAACTATTAGCCTACGGACATGTATAATATTTTTGTTGGTAAAAGATATATCTTGCTCGTCAAAATTTTTGGGGAAAATATACAAATTTTGGTGGGCACAAGTCCTTCCACTATCTAAAATTTTGAAGCAACTAATAGCTCTACGAAATGTCCTTTTTGGGGGCAAAAGTGAACTCCGCGTATCAATCTCTATTTATCTTTCAAAATTTTGTAGGGAAAGTATAAATTTCTTGTAGTATAAAATGCACTTATCAAATACCCCAAACTGAGACTTATTTATCCCGAGCAAAACTATCTACTATATACACATGCAAACAAAAATATAAAAGCTTTAGATAACCTTGCCAAACTTACATCTAGTATTTGAAATCATTTTGATAATTCATAAAAAGTTCATAAGTAATGCAAATAAAATTTATTATTTACTCATTCAATGCTTGATCGATGTCTACATGTTCATAGTCACTTTAATAATCATGAGCTTTAGGTAGGTTATCCTAACCCTTTGTAGTCAAATATTTCCTCTCTCTCTCGAGGGATGTACACCCCCAAAGCTATTTTTCAATCATATAATTCCCAAGATGTTTATTCTAAGGTTGATTACACAAGGCTCTTTTCCTTTCCTCTCAAGTTTGGTTGAATTTCACAATGAAACTCACTACCTCGATACATGATAATTCTCCTTAAGATTGAATATCTCAACCTCCAAACTACACCTAAGCTAATAATTTCATTAGAAATCTAACTGTCAACTAAGAATCCAAGGCTTACTCGGGCATAAACAATGCTTATAGTTGTTTTGACACTGCTTCAACACACTTCAGTGTGTTTTATTTTACTTTTCATAGTGTCCCTTCTTCTGTTTTAGGGATATTTCTTTTGGTTATGAAATGTAGTTTTCACTCTACATTGCAGGCAGTCTTCTTCCGCGATAGATCATCTCCTAAATATTAGTGATAAATATGGACAGATTACTCAAGGCTAATTTCATAGAACAATATAGGTAACTTTTTTGCACGTACCTTGACTAGTGTATTGTCTTTTAATTTTTTGGATAGGTAATGAGATGAAACCCCTAATTTCAGTTACTGCACAAGTTTCACCTATTAGTCAATAACATTCCACACAAATATTCAACATACCCGGAATCAATACATATCTAAATAGCTTCGGATCAACCACCCCCAAACTAATTCTTTCAATTGGTTCAGTAGTCGTGGTAATATGGTCTCGGTTTATAAACCAAATTTCAAAATTAATCTAACATATTCTATCAAGATAACCAATCAAAAAATTCATAATAATTATCATGATTATTGTGCTCAATATAATGTGATCTAACATGAAAAAATATCAAATCAGAAAAAATAAAAGTGAATCACCTATTCACAACTTATGTATCATAAATATTTCAAATTATCATAATTATAGCTGACAAGGCTATCCAACTCACGCAAACACACATAAAATAAGAGAATACTTTTAATTTTTTTTCAAAATTTTCACCCCCTTTTTATGTATATCATACGAACAAGTAATTATAACTAACTAAACGACACACCCAAACTCAATTCCTACATTGTCTTCAGTATAGAGAAATTTATAATCAAAAGTGCAAAAATTAAATTAAGAGAGGGAGACTAAGATTCGTCGGATGCTAATAGGATGGTGGGTGTGGAGTTGGAACTTCAAGAATCTCCTGTCTACTTCCCTTTTCCTAGTTCCTTTTCTCCTCCTTTGAATGTATCTTACATTTTTGATGTCATATTTCCTATAATGAAGATCAATGAGCACATTAGTAACCCACTATCAATGAATAAAACTGAAATACATCAAATTTATATAAAAAAATAGGAAATAGAGGGAATGGGAAAGTAGCACGCATGGGGACACAGGCAAGATGCAGGGGGCAACAGGGAACGCAACAGGGGATGTAGGGAGAGTGCATCCCCTTGCATACCCCGCGCCGTGTTTGGTAAAAAATGTTACAATTTCAATGCAAGTGAAGAATCATTTTCACAAATATCTCATGACGGTATCGTGTGAATTTTGGGAAAAAGTACTAATGGAATTATCATTACGGACTTGTTTGAGCCCCATTTTTGTAAAAATAAAAAAAATAAAATTATATATATATATTTTTAATTTTTTTACAGGGTACATGTGTTGGGCATGCCATAACTAATGGAAGCAGTCTTTATGTCACGTGTTTTCCACAACATGAATTTATGCCGCAAGTATACGGTGTCAAGTTTTGTAATATAATGATTGAGTTAAGAGTGTCGAACCCACAGAGATTGCAATTCAATTTCTACCAAGTATTATAATTGTTTCAGTTTTTACTTTATCTAGACGAACAAAATATCAATTCAAGGTTTTTTTTATCCTAAACTAATATAAATGTGTAATAATACAAATAAAATGAAAACAATTTATAGGCGACTGTTAATGCAAGAAAGCCTAGGGATAGATTTCACCTTGCTACCAATTACGACTCAATTATTTCTAGCTATTCTAATCAATTTTTCCATGTTTGAAAGCAAGAATCCTAATGTATTTCTCTCCCCTCTCTCGAGTGTCGGCTAGAAATTAATCTTAGAATTCAATTCCAATATCTCTATTCTGAATTAAAATCAACGATTTATCAAGTTCATGATTCTTTTATGGAGTAAGTTTCATAAATCCTATACTTTCTCTCGAAACCCATAAAATCTACGTTGTGTTAATCCTATGATCGAGCCTAAATTCCCCTATCTCGAGTCCTGGAATTGACTTGCATCTATTCATTCAATTAGTGGCCAATTAATGAAAGCATTAATTTCATGATACAATCAAACATATATGAAAAATCAAATAGAATATTTAGGGCAAAATCAAATCATAATATCAAATTTGGCTACATCAAACCCTAGATATGAAAATTAGTTCATGAAATAGATCATGAAATCCATACTATTAATAATGGAAAACATAAAAGATAAGTAAGAAAGAACTCCTTTGAAGTGCTAATCGAAATCCCTTTTATGACTTCCACCCTTTTTTCACTTGATTTCTTCAATTCTTTCTTTTTGTTGTCCTTGAAGATCCAATCTTTATATATCTTTCTCTCCTTCTCACTTCCAAAATTGGGTCTCCTCCCTTGTATTTTTAGTATTTTAGAGTTTAGGAATGAATTAGGGTTGAATTGGGTCGGGTCTCATAAAAAAACACTTTATTTTATTTTTACTTGGCGCTGCGGCGCCGCTCATCTGTTCCGATTTCTTTTCTGCACGTTTTTTAGTATTTTTATCATAACTTTTTCATCCGATGTCCAATTGAGGCGATTCAAGATGATTTGGATATCTAACTCATCGGGCTACAACTTTGATTCATATATCATTCTCCAATTCAATCATTTCCTATGTCAAAAGTGAGTCTCAATATAGGAGCAAAACTTTTCGGTTGAAAATTGATTTGTGATCATCTTTTGACTAAATTTGATCCATTTGACGTCTTCCCTTATCCAATTAACTCCGAGAACTTTCAAATCTTCATCGTGAGGTTTGACACAACTTTTAAGTATCACACTTTAGTCCCCGAACTTTGGATCTCTTACAATTTAGTCCTTTCTCCGAGTTTGTCTACTTTTACTTATTTTTTTCAATCTCACCAACCTACATCACAATATCAAAACACACATAAAAACACTCTAAAATTTTCTCAAGGGTAACAAAATAATGCATTAAATGGCATAAATATCATGAGTGTGGAGCACTAATCACTTTAAAATGAAAAAAAAATTATTACATATTAGTTTCCTAATTAAATCACAACCCTATGTATGAAAGTCATTTGTTATCTTGGAATAATACTAATCATTTGAATAATACGAAGAGTACGATATTCCGTGTTTAAAAGTCACATTCTAATTTGTTCACCGTTGTGTCAAAGCTAAATAGTGCAATATTAAATATTTACTGCATTGGACATTATTTTGGTTGAAAGAATTGAACATATGGAGCAATAGTTTGCACAATATATTGCATTTAACAATCATAAAAAATCAATGTTACTAAAAGAGGTTCATTGTCTAGAAGAATTGGGGAGCGCAGTTCCGCCAAGGAAGTGCATAATCAGTGAAAGAGCTCTAGCAGGTTGGTAACTAGGGACTTGATGCCCTGCCCCTCTAACCGTGGCAAATGTTAGGTTTCCTTCATAAACTTGTGTATATCCACCAACCTGAAAATCGAGTCACGTTGGTTAAATGAATTCTTTTTGGTCCATGACCAGTAAAAGATCATATGCATTCTATTGAATCGACCATAAATGTTTATTTGCTTACCTCTCTACTAATAAACCAAGGATGCCATGAAGTTGTTACGGCAAGTTTCATCTTCTTAATAGAATACTTCGTCGAAGTTACTGGAACCCTTCCATCCGTGTCACCACTGCATTTAATATTAATAAAGATTTAATCAATCAAAATATATTATTCAATTTCTACCTATATATACACGTTATGCGTGCAACGAAGATTTTAATGGTTGGTTTCCTAACCTATTGTACCAATAGAAAAAAATGAAATCCTAAAATAGGGAAACCGTTCAAATCTTTGTTAAATTGTCAAGTAGGCCACATAAATATATCTAACTTCAAATTTTAGACATTAATCGAAATTGAGAAGCAAAATCCAGTTCCATAAAGTTGGATATGTTTGAAGCACGTAAAGATTTAACAGAGTTTTTCATGGTTTCCATCATTAGGGCTTCATCCTGCAGCTATAATGAAAAGTTGGTGACAGATTTTTCCTTTTAAAAGCCCAGTGATCAACTTGTACTATACCATAGGTTGGAGAGTGATAATATAATTTTCCTTATAATTTGGGTATGGAAATCTACGACAATAACAAGATGATGACAACAAGTTAGAGGATGAAATTACCTAAATATCCATACTCGAAGTCCATTGGCCATAAACTCTCTTAGTAGAGGAAGAATTGTCGATGAACTATCACTCCAGTCTGTTATGATATCGCTGCAATTTAATCAGAGGAATTAGCTTCAAGCCTTCAGCTATAGTGTATGAAAACAATAAAAATGGGAAATTAAAATTGAATAGTGATTAATTTATGGTATGAAGTCATTAAGAACATGTCAAAACCTAAAGAATCTTTAATTTTGTCCAAAGAAAAGATGGGTTCGAAGAAAAGTGAAGAACTCAGAGTGAATGATTACCTGCATGGCTCCCAATCATGATCTAATTTGGTAACATTGGCATGAAGTGCTTCTTGAACATCAGGCCGATTCAAATAAGCATACACATAATAGTCACTGCATGGATCCATATTTACAATCTGCATTCAAATTTATGAACGTGTGACAAAGTTGTAACTTTTATTTAATTCTTAACTAGGTGGACTACATGCGCGACGATGGATAAAAATTAAGAAGAAGATAATATTTGCAAGTTACATAGTCTAATGTTGAATTTAAGATATAATGTTAATACTTACTGAAGCCTTTTTGGGCTCGTCGGTAATGCTGGTATTAGAGCACAAGGGAGCATAGATATTGTAGATATCAATACTATTAACATTTGTGTCTGCTTCATCAGTAGCATCAGTGCATTCATCAGATTCTTCAGAGGAGTTGGGGGTGAAATCGCAGTATTTTTGGATTTTATTCCAAGTTTCATCAGAAATTATAGCATGGCTTGCAAAATAATCATACATCCCTTTTGTATCTGTCTCGTCATTGATTACCGCATTTCCAATCTGTATTATTTCCAAGAAAAATAAGGGAGAGAAGTTATATTTGAATATAATTCTATAACAAAAAGGAAAAGAAAATAAACTTCTTCTCTCCTTAATAATTTGAGAGTTGTGCTATATGTACATAACCGTATATATAATGATTATGATGTGACGAGATTTCAATGGATCAAGATTTCATCAATCAAATAACTTTCCCACTTATATTTTAACGCCTCATCATTATGTAACTCATTCATTATATAAATAATTATGTACAAGAGGTATTTTCCATAATTTAAACTTCTGGAGGTGAAAAACTTAGGTTCAAGTCTCAATGTTATTCATTAAAAGTGTGCACAAACCATGTCTTTGGGGAAAAGAAATGAACTCGAATTAGGGATCACTTGATAGGGCTTCTGTTTTTTTATAAAAGAGATTCAAAATGAAACTACTTTGATTTATGTTTGAAAAGTAATTTTTAAACGAGCATCGTCTTCAGAAATTACTTATAGAAGAAGTTACATTAAACTCCACCCGATTTCTCAAAAATCTCAACAAAAGGGTACTTACTGAATTGGAAAACGAAAATAACCAATCAACATATTTGCTCCACACAAAGAGGAATCAAAGTTAGGTGGGGACCCTGTTAGTTGAAAATGCCATAATGGACAAGGCAACAATCAAAGGTGCTATGGAGCTTTAGAACATAATTTGAATAAAATAAAACAGTACTAAGGTGTTATTAATCCTTGAACGTGTCATTATTTCACACCATGTGAGGAAAGGGTCCACTAGAATAATTCAAATGTTGTAGTCTTGCCGATGGAAGTAGTTGTCTACACTCTTATTTAATGCTCCTAACATTAATTACTTACTTCATGTCCAAGCAAGAATGAAATCAATCATCTATCAGAAGAGAGAGAGACTTACAATGATTCCTTTGAGATTAATTATGTTCCTCTTGGCCTTCTTGTTATGATAGAGAATGTTATGAGCCAATTGAGGTACGTAATGACCCGCGTAGCTCTCTCCAGAAATGTAGAAATCTCTGTTTTTGTACTCTGGAAATCTCTCCAGCCAATTCAATAAGAAAACTAAATTATCATTGGCTGTTCTTCGATCTCCGTTCTTCTTATAATCAGAAGTTGTGTTTGAATATGAGAACCCGACACCGGCTGGAGACTCCAAAAATAACATATTTGCAGCTGAGAAATCAAAAGGAAATTAGTTAGATGATTGCAAATTGAGTTATCTGGTTTTGAATGGAAAATATGGTTTAAGTGGACGCACCATAGTTCCAAGCAAATTTATTTTTGAACAAGGTTTTCCCATCGCTTTTAACTCGGAAGGGTCCTAGCTCTTGCATTGCTCCATAGGCAAGAGACGAACAACCCGGGCCTGTTAAACAAAACAATTAAATCAAGTCTTCGTTTGGTAAATTTGAAAATACTTTATAAATAAGAATATTAAAGGAGATAGTGATGGGTTCACTTAAAACTAAAATCTACTATGTATTCAAAATAATCGAGTCCGATCTCATATGATAAAAAACTTTAAACTACTGACGTTGCAAGATAACCGTAATAGATATCAATTCCATCTAGAATTCTGCTATAGGTACAAGAATTCAAATTCATGTACCTATACAGGATAGACACATCAGGGGGGTGGGTGGGTAGAAAAATCAATTTTTTACTAACATGGGCCCACCCCATGTGAGTAAAATTCAAAATTCTGTTGGAAATTCTGTACAAATTTTTTGTCCTCACAGCATTTTTCATCTATCCAATTAATTTACTTACTTTCAGAAAGTTAGTTATAACAGGCTGAATTAATGCCTAGAAAACAGAGAGGCTAGGAATGAGTCTACTTTTGTTTCTTTCTTGTTTATCATTGGGAAAACTCTACCAATATACATGCAAAAAAACCTAGTTTAACATAAAATTTACCAAGCAAACACCCATAAACTTCGAACTGTACTAATTATTTAATTCAGTCCATTGTTTTCATACATAAAAAAACATTAAAAAAACAACAAAAACATTAAAATACTTGAAATTAGACACCTTTTTAAAAGAGAATTTGACGATCACAACCACATTAAAAAATCATAATTCCCATGTTATGCTTCACACAATTGACATGAAATTACTCAAAAATAAGTAAAAAGTAAATACCTCCATTGAGCCAAAGAAGAAGAGGCAAAGACTCTTTAGAATGCTTAGCCTCTGCAAAGTAATAATAAAATGCTCTACCAGCCTTTTGATCCACTGTAATATATCCACCATACTGTTTGAATCGAACAGGTGGTTGTCCAGGCAATTTCTCTATCCTATCTTTCTCTTTCATCTCGTTTTGCGGATCAACTTTTGGGTTAAGAAAATTGTGGCTGGCATTGAAATGGCTTGTGTCCACTGTTGAATTTCTCCTTAGCTTGGCTTTATACAGATGGGAAAGAGCTTCGATTTGGTTCTTTCCGAAGCACAGTGCTGTAAAATACGATAAAAACAGAGTAATGAAAAGAATGAGAGAGGTTTTGTTCTCCATTGGGGTTGGTTTCATTTCTGTTAAGAAACTTGAAATGAGGAAGAAAACGAGTGAACCTCAATTGGGATGTGTGTGTGTGTGTGTGTGTGTATATATATATATATATATATATATATGTTTTTTTTTCGAATTATGCTATCATCATGCCTTGGAATGATTTTTCAAAATTCGATTTTGCAAATTTAATTTTGTTGACTATATCAAAAGTTTGATGCAATATTATTCGGGATTTTTTTACCGGTTTCTTTAAATTATTTCTTTAACGGCCTGATTCATTTAGAAGTATTTTTCTTATTTTCCATTCATTTAGAAGTATTTTCCTTTGGTCATTCCGTCATTCCTGTGTGTAAACATATATACATTAATTATACCACATGGCATGCATAGTTTAGCATGTTACTTTGGGCGAGGTAATTGTCTGATCTACAGTACAGATCTGAATGATTGAGTAATATAAAATGAAAGAATATCCCCATGCTAATAAATCCATCCATATGATGGAAATTTTTGATTATATTTGCTTATAATCCGATTTTTTTTAAAGCGATTTTTAATCTTTCATAACCCCTTCTTAATGTTAAACTCGACCCAATTTGACTATTCAAATCAAGAATTTTTTTAGTCCCCACTAATTTTTGTGTCAATTAAATAATCAAGAATCAAGAATTAATCGTTATCCTGTCAAATATTAACCAATTTTTCGAAAATGACGAGTTCTACCAATAAAATTGTGGTGGGGTTTTGAAATCGATCAAGTTATACCTAAAAAGAATAGAAAAACTGAATTGAACAAATCAAGAACTAACCATTTGATCAAGCATTTTTTTTGTCATTAAGAAACCAAGAATTCTCTTTCTTCGTCATCACCTAAATATTTTTTAATTTTAATATATTTTTACCACCTGTTCAACTAGTTGGTTATTTCTCTTTTTTTTGAGTAGATCATCGACCCAATTTTTAAGAGATCAAAACTAAAATTCTAAATATATCATCTTAATAAAGAAAGACAGTAGAAAACTTTTTATTGTGATTAGAAATATGCACTTTCCATTGCTTTATCCGTAATGGATGGACTCATTATAATAAGAGGTTGTGGTCAACCATGACATGTGCAACATTGGAGTAATGGTGCTCGTACTCATGATCCATCTGCAGAATTATGTTATTCTATTTGTATGGCAACGAATCAAATCAAAAAGGGAATCATTCTCTAAGCGGACCAATAAAATAAAATATTCGAATTATATAACATGAATAGACTACTTTGGATGCACATTACAATAAATTCTGTATCTATATATTGATAAACAAAACGGGACAGGACAGGAGAGGACAATGATGGACGCCCATCTCTTTAAAACGGAAAGATGGTTAATGAATAGATACCACTTGAAAGGTAAAGGTGGTTAGGGATTCATCCCTTTTTTGGTCTAGAAATGTGATTTTTTATTTAGTTTGAAGTAGATGGAGAGGAAAAAGGACACTAATTTTTTGTCGTTTGGATATTTTGAACAAGATGCTTTTCCCTTACCATCAAAGACTTTTGGATGAGGAACCAGAATCATTTTGAGTATTTTGGAAGTTCTTTTGCTCTTTTGTGTCACAATATGTTTATATATTCTCTTGGCTATTTATAGTGTGCTGTTAAACTTTTGGTAGGTTAGAGTTCTTTCATGAATATCAGATATTGGCAAGTCTAGAAACTCAGAAAATAATTTTTAATGGATATTGGTAACTTTAAAGAAACTTAAATAGATCTTTTAATTGAAAAAATTAGAAAACTTTAGTTAATAATATATAAGAGTGCCCACTTGAGACAAAAACTCTTCGAAAACTATAAAAACTCCTCTAGATTTCGAAGAGTTTTCACTTTTCAACATCTTATTTTCTAGTTAAACCCGAAAAAATTTAAATGAATTTATGAAATTTATCTAGAAAATCTGAATGTTTTGATAAATGACGATTAACTGTGTACTTCAACCATAATATGACACTAAAGATTTTAAAAAAAGTTTTAAAATTATGGGATAATTATTGATGACTATTTAGTCTTATCACAATATCTCTTCTATATAAAAAGTGGCTATCTAACGGATTTTGTTGGTTTAACGGAAAAACTAACGGAACTTCTTGGTTTAACGGAAAAACTAACGGAATCAGGGCTAAAATAGAGATTAGCTGGAGTATAAAAGGAAGGAAAGAGAGCGAAGAGAGAGAAACTTTGGACCCATCTCTCTGAATTCCCCAATCGGTACTCTGAAACCCTAGAAGCGATCCCTTCGCGAACTCCATCCGGCGACGAACAGTGGGTAGCGCTTGGAATCCGTCTCCGCCCGAAGCTACCTTGAATCCCCTGTTCATCGATTTGAATTTTTTCAAANACGTTTCAAACGCTGGATGCCCCGAAGCAGCAAGTAGGCGACAATCACCCAAATCTCCATCTCGTGTTACCTCCTCCAGCAACTAGGCTCCCTTCCGCGTGCAGGGCTCCACCGGACCGACCGCGGAACCGAACGTTAATGGACCGGCGAATGAAGGGAAACGGAACGGCAGCATCAATGGGCCGACCAATCCTATGGTGACACCTCTTCTAACGGATCTCTATCAGTTTACTATGGCCTATGCTTACTGGAAAGCTGAGAAGCATGAAGAACGCTCTGTGTAACTCTCTCCTCCCCTAGGGTCAGGTATTTTCTTAATTTCTTTAGCAATTGGATTATTGGTGATAGTAGCTTGAGTCTTGAGATGAAATTGGTCCTTTTCTATGTTCAGTTGACACGTTTGTGCTTTTTATTTTAATACTACATTTTGGGTATTGTTGTGTGCTGTGTGCAGCAGAGATTCACTGTGGTCTATTATGGAATTGAAATTGGTGGTCGTCATCAGCATTTCCTGTTCGACTTCGACAATCGGCAGCACCGCAAGTCTACAACAGTAACCATACTGTAAGTCCGTGTAACTAGCTGTATTTCTTCAATTCTTTGCTCTATTTTCTGTAAGCAGTAAGGCCTATTTTATTTGCTCTATTTTCTTTTACTGTAAGCCCTATTTTCTTTGCTCTATATTGTTGGCTGTGAGAAAACTAAAAAGGGTGGCTTTTTGGTTCTATTCTATGCTTGAAAGTTGAAGTAGTAGGACTGTAGGAATAAGGAATGCACGATTGTTCTATATTGGTGAAGTAGTAGGACTGTAGGAAACTAGAAATTGGGATTGTTCTTGGGTGTGCCTGTGTTACCTGTGCTGTGTAGTGTGTAGCCTGTGTTCTGTTTTCGTTCAATTGTTCAAGTGCTGGGAGTCCAATTGTGAATTGGGTAGATTGTAGTTTTCAGTCTGTCTCTGTCATCTGTGTTTTTGAGATTATTGCTAATTTGCTGTGACTTGTGGGGTTCAACAGCCGACCTGCATCCACACCAATTTCAACAGCACCAGCAGTAGCCATTTATGGGTAGTGACTTCTCGCAAGGCGCACACACCCTCTCACAGGACCACCCTTCTCGCGAGGCCAGCACCAAATTGGAGCCAGGCGAACCTCCAGCGGACCTGTACGACCATGAGTAACTATTTAATTGTTCCAATTGATGCTCCAATTGAGGTTGGCCAATGTTTGATGTAGTGGGATTAAGGGCTGGTTTTGATGTATTTCTAATTGAGGGGTGACGTGTTTGGGTAGGAGTGTGAAAGGAGGAGGATGAATTTCCAATTGATGCTCCAATTGAGCGACGGTGGTGCCAACCTAGGGTTTTGATTTCGAATATTTATCTTAAGATCCAATTGAACGACAGTGGCGGTCGGCCTTTGGCCGGTGGTGCCAACCACTGGTGTGGGTAGGAGTGGGAAAGGAGGAGGATGGATTTTTTGTTTTAGGGGTGACGTGGCACTATTTTATTGGTTCTTTGAGGCCAATGAGGACCCGTCTTCCAAGCCTATTGTTCTTTGGCTCAATGGAGGTCAATTTATTCTGAACTCTTTTTTTATTTTTTTGTAATCTTGTTAAAAATGTTAGCGTACTAGCCTTCAGACAAATGCACTTTTTTGTGTTTTTCTTTTGTTGAATTTATATTAGAGTATTTGAATTTGCTATGATATTGGGAGATATGTACAAAGAATGACGTGATTCTGTATACAAAATTGTGATATATCTAAGCTAAAAGAGCATCCTTTGTGGCCTCTGGGCCAATATGATTATTTGCAATGTCCAAGAAGTTTTTAGCATTAGCAAAGAATTTATTTCAAGACATATGGTGGTAATTCTTCCCTTTCTTGATTGTAAACTTCAGCAAGTTATATACACATTTTTTATTATGTTCAACTTGTATGTCATTGATTCCCCAAGAAACGTGTCATTAAGTATCAGAAAGCATGGTGATTATTAAAAATTCTACCTTGGATTTGCTATTTCTTTTCACTTTTTAGTTTAGTTTTTGAATTTGATGCTGTAAAGTTCAATTCATTGATGTCTTAGCATGGTAATTTATCTTGGTTTGATGTAATTTATAGCCAGGGTAGAAACTAGCTTGTTTCTGACCCATTATATGTTCAGGCCCTGGATGTTCATCTATTGCATATGGATTAGCTGAGGAAATCGGACCTTTCCATATTGAGAAAGGTGGGAAGACCCTTTATTTGAACCCGTATTCTTGGAATAAAGGTATATTTTGTGTGCTGTCCTCTAGAAAATAAATGAATTGAATTTGTGCAATATTTTACTAATGTCATAATCTTTGCAGATTTTAAAATCTCGACCCATATCTCAGCAAATACTTTGAAACCTTCGTTCGTCTATCCCGGAATTCCAGCTTCTCGGGCCTGCAATTCATCCTTCGGGAAAACCTCATTTACAAGACGCCTATAGAGGAAGAGAAAATAAATAACACCGTGGAAAGAAGTTTGGACAATCTCGATACTGTGATTGATTCGGGATTCTTGATAAGGGGATTCAATTTTTCCCTGTATTGCTGCCTTGCTTTTAAGTTGGAGCACGTTAGAAAGCTTGGTTTATGTCATATTAGTTGTTG